GTAGGGCAGCAACAGGCGGCGGCGCGTGGTCTCGGGCAGCAGCAGATGCGGCGGCGGCACGTGGTGGCTGTTCGCGGTGTTTTCTCTCGATCCGACAAACTCGAACGACTCGGATAGCTTAGATCCGGGAAGCCCGGTAATTTTCTTTGACCCACCTTTGTTCGAAGTTAGATTTGGATTATCCACACCTAAACGAAATCGATTTGGAATACCCACACCTAAGCGAAATTGTTTTGTAGTAACGGACATCAAATCGAAGCCGTTGGAGGTCGTTTTGGGCGTTTGTCGCTGCTGTAAAAAAAACGTGGACAGCAGTGTTTTGGCTGGTGTCCGGCGATTATCTTCATCCGTTCGAAGCCCAATTTACGCTACCCACCCCTTTGCAAGCTAGATCTAATTTACCCACACCTACACGAAGTCGTTTTATGGTAATGAGACCCTTTGAACCCTCTTAGAGTTGTTTTCGAAGGCTGAACAGTATATTTATATTGCTATATTTTTCCATTTTTTGTGCTTAGGTGTGAGTTCGACGCAAACATAAAGACGTGGTTAGGTAAGTAGCACCAGGGGGCGAGTGCGTGCGTTATTTAGCGTTAATGAAATGCTTTTGATGCTGATTTTTAGTTAAAATAATTTAATTGTGCATGTAGGGATTGTTAGTTTTGATTTGTGAACTTCTAGTGATTTTGTTGCCGTCTTTCTATTATTGAACACTTATGAGGAAACATGCTTTCTATTCTTATTGTTGGAGGTGACTAGWAGATTCTGAATTGTTGTGGTTAAAAGTAACTGGCTCATGACRTTTTGCAAACATGTTGTAAATGAAATGCTCGCGTTGTTAAACTGATAATTAGTTTATATTGTTTTAGTTGTGAGCTGTTGGGTGGTGACTTGTTTATTACAAAGAAAAACATGCTTGTGAACTGTGCAGTGAATTGGAATGTGGGAAATATACTTGTAGGTGGTCTTGGGAGGGCTAGTGGAAGTAGTGAAGGGTGAAGGGTGAAGGGACAAGTTGGCAGTCTGTTAAACTATGGGTGGTCTGAACTGAAAATGCATATAAAACGCTTGGAGGTTCAAAGCCTTGGGTAGTTGCCTTGGGAATAAATGACAAGGCCGAACGTCAAATTTCTGTCAATGAGTATTGGGGTCTTGGGGATAAATGTCAAGGACTAATACGCTGGGAAGTCATCGGTACCTTGGGGATAAACGGCAAGGACCGGTGCACAGTTCAGGCCTTGGG